GGAATAGTGGTCCCCACCTCTCAGTGATATAACATGAGGTCCCAAAAATAATTATCAATCCTTGTCTATCATCTTCTAGCACATTAGAATTCGCATTTCAGCTTTTAATATTTTGATGATCAAAATTTTTTTGTTTTTTCTTTAACCATTTTAATGCCACAAAACAAGCAGCATTTCAGAGCCCACAATGCCAGGTTTCTTAAAAGCACTCCAAACAATTAAAAAAAATTATAATTGCTGATAAAAAAATAAAATCAAGTTGCTAAATACAACCATAAAACAATTCGACTTGCAAAGAATAGTTATCATCTTCTACCGCAGTCTATTTCCCACTTTGCTGGAAACAAAGAAGTGTTTTTTTATTTTTGTATGTTATATATATATATATATATATATATATATATATATATATATATATATATATATATATATATATATATATATATATATATATATATATATATATATATATATATTTTTTATATATATATATATATATATATATATATTTTTTTATATATATATAGTTTTGCTCTGTATATATATATATATATATATATATATATATATATATATATATATATATATATACAGAGCAAAACTATCCCCAGCTTGAAATGTGGTTACATTATTAATTCATTGTGTTGGGGATAGACAGCCAGTGTACAGTATTTATACACAATAGGCTTATATCGAGATCCCTCTTAAGGTCGAATTTCCGACTTCCCCAGGATGCAACCCCGCAAAAAGCTAACTAACTCTTGCATATCTACATACTGCCAGGTGAACAGGCCATTAGGTGATAGGTAATGCACCCAACTACTTCTGTCCCGCCCAGGATTCGAACACAGAATTCTTGATTGTTAGTCGAGAACGAATCCGACTGTACTACTGGGACATTCCTCCTGATTGTTATCTAGTTCTGTTGAGTGGAGATTTAAAGAAGTATTCAATTAAGTGGTACAGCTAACCTTGAAAACGTGTTTCATTGTGGTGTGGGATAATGTATAAATAAATACTTATTGTAAGTGTATTCCTCTGGACTTTGAATGACCAATTTCTCATTCTAATTTGGTGTACATAAGTTGTAGTTTATCATATCTTGCAGTTCCCACTACATTCATGGTTTTCTGGGACACTCTATTTTTCAGGGGCACAGGCAGTTGTTAGTTGTTCACTGGGGTGTACCCAGCCATTATGCTACATTTGTGTAGAGGTGGTAACTATATGCTAAGAGTTAACTATTTATTTCTTACGTGTTGGTCCCATTCAGTTGCTCTCCAGAACAATGGCACCTTGGAGAGAAGGGACAACTTTCTTGAAAGCGAACAGAAAAACTGAAAGGGCTTACCCATCTTGAAGTTATCTTGAGAAGATTTCGGGGGTTAGAGTTTTCGCGGCCCGGTCCTCGACCAGGCCTCCTTTTTGTTACACACCCCCAGGAAGCAGCCCGTAGCAGCTGTCTAACTCCCAGGTACCTCTTTACTGCTAGGTAACAGGGGCATCAGGATGAAAGAAACATTTTGCCCATTTGTCTCCGCCCCCACCGGGGATCGAACCCGGAACCTCAGGACTACGAATCCGAAGCGCTGTCTACTCAGTTGTCAGGCGCCCTACCCATGGAGAAAAACAAAAAGGCAAACAACTATAGTTCAGGGAAATAACAAAATATTAGTGATGTAACACTTGTCCAAACACTACTCAACTACAGTGAAAGTATGAGACATTCAGGAGGTAATGAGTGATCAACACTGGGTTGGACTTCCAGAAGCCCTAATATTAGATGTGGAAAGGTTAGCAAAGAAAGGCCTTCAGAACAACACACTTAAGCACACACACAACTCTAATAAAGAATAAGACCTAAGGGTGGTTTTGGATAGTAAGCTATCGTCAGAGGAACACATAAAGAAAATTGTGTGAACGTCATTTTCAAACTTCAGACTTGCTTTTAATTACATGGATGGTGAAATACTGAAGAAATTGTTCATGACGTTCGTGAGATGAAAACTGGAATATGCAGCAGTTGTATGGTACCCATATCTCAAGAAGCACATCAATAAGCTAGAAAAGGTGCAACGGCATGCTACAAAATGGCCTCTGGTACAGAAAAACAAGAGTTAAGAGGAGAGGCTAGTTTTTTAGTTTAGTTCATTTATTATGCACCCCATAACCATCTTGTGGGTGGTAGTGGAAAGGGTTACAGAGGCACATAATGGGCTCAGGGACTGAACCCCACAATTCATTTAGCTAAGCACATTTAGCTAACTACACATAAGGGGCATAACTGGCCGACCCCTCACAGTGTTCAAGAGAGAACGGGATAAGCACCTCCAAAGGATACCTGATCAACCAGGCTGTGACTCATATGTCAGGCTGCGAGCAGCCGCGTCCAACAGCCTGGTTGATCAGTCCGGCAACCAGGAGGCCTGGTCGACGACCGGGCCGCGGGGACGCTAAGCCCCGGAAGCACCTCAAGATAACCTCAAGGTAACCTCAAGGTAAGCAAGTTACAATCTTGATGAGTTAGTTAAAAAATTCAATATAAGTTGTCACATCAACAATGGGTTCGAGATCGACCACAAGTACAGTTTCTAAATTAAGCAACTGACATATGTGGAGAGCTACCCAAAACACTATGTATTTTAGTGGCTTTGCAAGAATGTGATGCTCATATGCCACCCCAACCCAATGTACCTTCTTGTAAATAAATAAATACAAAATAAAATAAATATCCTGTAACATAAATACTTTAGTTTTGAGTCCTTTGTGTCTCATTTCCATGGTTATCATTTGTATAGGCTGATTATGTTGATATACTAAACAACTTAAATATTCCGTTTAATATTTGTATAGCTAAAATATTTTCAGTAGTGTTAGAGGAAGGCTGAATCACACACAAACGATAGCAGATAAAATAAAAAAAAACAAAAAATAAAATAAAATGTTTATTTAGGTAAGGTACATACATACAATAAATTTTTACAAAGATTGGTTGACTTATAGGTAGAGCTAGTACATACAATGCCTAAAGCCACTATTACGCAAAGCGTTTCGGGCATGATAAACTTAAATGACAAGCTTAATACTAATTGAGCATAATGAGTAGAATGAAAACAAGAAATGAAAACATAGATGAAAAAGCAGCACAAATACAATTATGTCGATAAACAGCGCTCTTTAAAAAAAAAAAAAAAAAAAAAAAAAAAAAAACATTGGTTGACAATAGAAGGGTAAGGTAGGTTACAGGGAATTTATTAGGTATAGCTTCATTTTTAACTTAAACTGGTTGAGAGAGGTACAGTCTTTAACATGGTTGGGAAGGTCATTCCACATTCTGGGCCCCTTGATTTGTAGAGCATTTCTAGTTTGATTAAGTCGTACTCTAGGAATACCAAAACTGTATTTATTTCTGGTGTGGTGCTCATGGGTTCTGTTACAACCTTCTATGATGCAAACAAGATGATAGGGAGGGATGCAAACAAACTGGCCAGCAAGTACAGAGGCAGGCTCGTACTCCGGCAGATACACATACACAGTCAATTCTTGATATCACAAAATTAATTTGTCTCGCACGTAAGCCACTCCTACATGACTGGCTCACAAGTACAATGAGAGCCAATCATGTACAACGTCCTCATAACCAGTATGCCAGCCCTTCCCTCTGGCTACAGCAACAGACAGTCAACTAGGTTTGCCAGCAGGCAAGCAGGATGATGGCAGTCTCCGTAGCGTAGTGGTAAGATACTCGTCTGGCGATTTGCAAGTGCTTTGGCCTGGCTTCATATCCTGGCCGGGGAGGATTTACTGGGTGCAAATCCTTAACTGTAGCCTCTGTTTACTCATCAATAAAATGGGTACCTGGTTATTAAACGATTTGGAGGGTCGTATTCTGGGGAATATTAAGATTAAGGACTTGCCAGAAATGTTATTCATGCATGTGGCTGTACAAGAATGTAAGAACTCTTGTATATATAAATAAATCATTATAAATAAATGTAACATAACTGACTGACCAGCCACAGCATCTCCCTCACTCCTCTCCTAACCACTTCCAGTTATTAAATTTGTGTTTAATTTTATGTGTATTCCTTATTATAATACATGCTTAAATACTGTGAAATATATAGGTAAAAGTAGAGTACTGTATGTATTTTTAAAAACAGTAAAATAAAAATATAGTGGATATTGGCCCATGAGGTGGGAAGAGGGGATACTAGATGGAATGAACTACCTGATGAAATAACAGGAGTCCACCCCATATAGTCTGTTTAAGCAAGTTAATAACACCTCATTACCATGAGGTAAACAAACTTCCCATTTTACCTGCTGGAAAAACTCTGTTTTCCATCAATTCTGTCAATATACTTTTTCCAAAACCCTCTTCTACTGTGTCTTCACCGTGTCTCATCATACTTATACTCTTTTATTACATTCTCTATTTTGTACTTTGTTGATATCTTTCCTTATCAACAATTTAATTTTTTTTGTGTGTAAATACAAGGCCTTTTTCCTATCTACCATAATATTTCATTTCGGTAGGCCTTCTCATAGCTGTGTTCCTGTCGATCCCTCCTTCCATGTTCTTACCTCAGTAAACCTCTACTGTTCAGTTCTGTTCTTTGTAAAAAAAAAAAAGACCCAAATTATTATTTGAAAAACAACCATGTGAATTATTGAAGTTCTTATGAATGGTCATCATACCTGTAACATTTCCATTGACTTAATTTTGGCAATGTTGTTTTATTTCTATGAAATAAGCCTTTTAGTACTGTTTATTGATCATTTATTATCATTATTTAAAACTTTTGAAGATTACAGTAATATGAAGCATTTATTAAATAGAGATATTAATAAAGTTGATGATTTTTTTAGTAAATTTTGAATATTTATGCTTTTTTTACAATATTGACATTGTTGCAATTGTTTTGTTGTTGTTTGTCTTACATTTTGATTGAAGTGTCTGAACTCATTACTCTCATCTGATCTTCTCCCCATCACAGCTCTATAGAGCCAACGGTGCCTCATCCTCTACCCACGAGTTGGGAGATGTGAGGTGTTAAAGACCACAAGATCACCGCTCTCGAACACATTTTTATGAGGCTTATCTTAGATAAATGCTGCACCATTCGCAGTACCAAATGCTGAGTGCCACGGTGTCTTCTTATGAGGCTTATCTTAGATGAATACTGCACCATTCGCAGTACCAAATGCTGAGTGCCACGGTGTCTTCAGTGATTAGTGCCATCTTATTTTTGAACTGTAGCAGCATGGTGCTGAATGCAAGATTACTGTCGTCATGACTGCAGCATCTCTGCTGATTGTTGTCAAGTCTTCCCTGAGTCTCCTGAGATAAATATGATATAATAAATGGTTTGGCTTGATCTTTGAATATAGTTTTTGGAATCATATTCAAACATAAGTTTCTGAAAATTGGGTCTGTTTTCTCTCTTGATAGTACAGAAGGATGTTTACCAGATGAAATCTCATTTAGGCTCAGGCAAGCCCATAATGTGAGTCATCAGATTACATGAAGCCAAAGACTGATTTAAAGAAAACCATGGAGGATATTTTTTCTAATGTTGATGTTTCAATGTACAGGGGTGAAAGGTACAGTATATAAATACAGTATTAAACACATTAACCTCATTGATGATACGTGCCAATCAAGAGGTCATGCAAGGAAAGGACGGGTTATTAATAATCACCCAAACCTCCCCCCCAGTACCCTCTCTGTGCTCAAGACTCGGTTGTGCATGATATATGGCATAATATGCAGGTTCCTGATTGTGTAAAGAAGCAACCTTACATGGTGACATTGTATGTGTATAATATTCAATATCTATAAGATTTTCCATATGCATCGTTTTATTGCCAAGAATTGCAGACTCGTGACCCTGGTGTTGAAAATGGGTTTTTTAGTGTTAGTGGAATGATTACTGCAATATTGTGTGAGGTCAGTATCAACTATAAAAGAAACATATGCTCAAGAAATCACAGTATATATCTGGTCAAGTGAAGCATGTATTGAGTGGCTTTTTTTTTTAAGTGTTCAAATTCTCGAAACTTTTGAGGTGTTGTGTATTCGGTGGTCTACAGTAAGTATGTGTGTGTATGTGACTGTTTTGAATAAGAAATAGAATTTTTGAATTTGAAAATTGTGACAATAATGATGTGTGTAGATTTTTTGCATGTTCTGTGGTTACTTCTCTTTGTAGAAGAGCCATGAAAATAGGATATGGTCATACAAAAATTGGATATATAATTACGGTATACAAAAGCCTATTTAATTCCTTGCTTTCACCAATGATGTGAGTGTGTTGTTCAACTTTTAATAACAATAAAGTTCAGTACAAGAAGAATGCCCACGAGGAACCTAATTTCAATGTCTCTGTATGTGCAATTTTAAATGACAAATAATCTATTTTAATAGTTCAATAGAGAAAACCTTCATTCCCCCCCCCCCATCCCCTGGAAGATATTTTTGCTGCTGATATGGAAATAGTGTCAAAACTTGTAATTGTGGCATAGCATGTTGTCCTGTAAATCATCTACTGTTTTATTTAGAATGATTGCATGGCAGTGTACTGTATGTACAGTATATGTGAGCTAAATTATTGTGTAGCAGATGCTTCTGTAATTGTTTTCATTACATTCAAATTGTCCAGTTATGGGTCAATATTTTACACTATAAAGATCATGATGAAAATTTCACATATGTTTTCTTGAAGGTCGAGATAAAATAGGAACCTCATTGGCATATAAATTAGCAAGAAATGTTTCATCTTATTTTCTTAAGAACCTCCTTATAACTTTTATTAAAATTAATGTAGTCTTTAAAATAGAAGTTCCTTTTCTGAAATTAATTTTAAAATTTCTATAAATATATTGAAAGCTGCAGAATCTTTAAATTCAATTTACTTAGAATTTGCTTATTACTTTTGTATAAATATTTCTTACAGCTGAGATAGAACCAAAAATTGAACTACAGTAATTGCAACCATTGTATTACACTTAATTATGCAACCATGGGTCTCATTTCTTATAGCAATAGTTTGTAACTGTAATGATATAGAGTGAGAGATCTTTAAGATGTTCCTTCATAGCATAATAATTTACATGCCACAAAATGTAAAAAGTTGACAGGATTGTTTCAAACATAAGTTAGGCTTACACGAGTGAGTTTGGGTGAGTATAAATATCAGTTGCCACGTCTGGAGTCAATAAGCCTTCTGGAATTTCCTGTATTCTCATGTTATGTACTCATGTTCCTGTGTGTTGTAACATGTTCCTGTGTATACCCTCATGTTATGCTCTAGTGTTCCTGTAACAACCTGCATGTTGTTACAGGATGAGAGCTTCATATGTGGTGATCCATCTTCCCAGTATTCTTCGTCATATGATGTTTTTAAACTATTAACAGTTTTGGCATATACGGCCTGCTCACTTAACTTGTTCCAGCCATCTACCATTCTGCAAAAGAAAACTTTCTAATATTATTTCAGCACCTTTGTTTCCTTAGCTTGAATGAAAGACTTCTTGTTCTTGAAGTTGCATTTTTCGATCATTCCTCCTTGCTAGTTTTGTCAGTTCCTTTTACTACTGTGTAGGTAGTGATCATATCCCCTCTTTTTTCTTCTTGCTTTGGCATATTTAACGCCTTTAGCCTCTCTTCGTAGCTCTTGTTTTTCAGTTCCGAAAGCCATTTTGTAGCATGTCTTTGCACCTTTTCCAGTTAAGTGGTGTGCTTCTTGAGCACATCTCCTACACTGTGGCTTGTTGAGCTGTTGCCCAACAAAGCTGTTGCCCACTTTGATTTTTGTACTTGTTAGTAACTGTGCTTAGATTTAAGCTGCATATGTTCATGGCTGTGTGACAGTTGTGTAAAATAGTGAATGGCAGGAAGTTTTGCTCCACTGTTAAATGGCCTCCCCCACTTAGTATTATCCTAATAATGTTTTTTTTTCCCCTTAATCACATATGCCAAGGAAAATGGTGCTATATTTACTTTGTATAGTCAGCACAAACATTTACAGAGTTGAGCATTTTCAATGTACATACACATGTTGTAGGACCTGAGAGAATTATATACAGAATAACTGTGCTATATATAGAGTAACAATTAACGGTTAACTATTTCAGCAATCTTAAGACTTAAATATTTGTACTGTACAGTTGTAAATACTAGTACTGTGACACCTGTTTGCATCATCAATGGAGTATTATAGAAAAGATGTGCACATTTTCTATCAATTTTAACCAAACTTTAGAAGCACAAAGTCCTTAGTCTGGGTTTAAAAATTATTTGCCTGTTTTAATTTACCTTTTGTGTGTTTTTGTAGATAAATACAATAAATGCAACATTTAAACTTAGCAGAAAGTTTCATACATGATTGAAACTGAACTAATAATTTCTTCCTTACTGCTGCAGATTAATCTTTTCTGTCAGTCCCTCTCATTTGTTACTTGTATAATGCATTTTTATATAGTTTATTAAAATTACTTTCATATTACATTAATTTAAATACCATACATTAACTATGGCTGCATAAGTTTTAAATATACAATATGCCAAGAAACCATTTTTTCATCATATAGATTACATATATTTGTAATATAATTTACTTTTTTATAAGAACTTGTTAACCTAATCTAGCTGTATGATTTTATAAATACTTGTACTCTGAAATATGTTTACTGTGCTTGCCATGTTTCCATCTCCACCCTCTGGTTATATCAGCTTCATATAGACAAAATTGTCTTTATTGTTCCTTTTGAAGCATCTTATCTCTCCTGTGGTGGGTTGAGTGCACAATATATGTAATTAAAATATTTGAATATCATGAAATTGGTTTGTTTATAAACCAAACAATTTGGTAGGATAAGGATGTAAATAATATCAAATTTCTGTGACATGTCCATGTTATTGTAGTTTTGTGGAAAAATATACACTTGGTACATAGTATGACAAAGAAATGTTGCATGCAGAGTTGACGTAAATATTAATAATTTGCCTAACTAGTCACTTTCTTATTTCATATTTATTTATTTTTATTTATATATACACACATGAAGGTACATTGGGTTTATGAGAGTATATAGAATGATGTGTTTACATTCTTGTAAAGCTACTAGTACGCCTCTTATGCCACTAGTATATGCCTCTTGTAGGGACTTTCCAGTCAGTTAGTATAATAATTTAAACCACAATAACAATTATAAGCTTTTATTACCAGTCAATACTAAGGGGTAGTTCTTTCTTGCCTTTCTGTGTTCTATTGTTTGTAAACAAGTTACTGTATGGTAAAATATATTTTTGAAAAGAATATAGTGTATGCTCATTTCATTTAAATTGTAACTTTTTTCTTGTGTGAAAAGTCATACTCTATTCAGACTAAAAGTTAAGTAAGACTTGTAGTTTAAAATGATAAACAATCTTTTAATAAAATCTCAATGAATCTAAGTTATAATTTAAAGTATACAGTTAAATGGTTCCAAATTTGTTCCTGTGGATAGGTCTTCCACAGTGTTTCTCACTGGATTTACATCATTCAGATACTGTTTTGTATTATTGGAATACATATTTCAGGCAGTTTGAAAAAGTTAGGTTTTCGCCATACTGTAACTGGAAGCCTTCACTAGTCACACAAAGTAATGTCAACGAACATTTTGTGATTGAATAAACACACTAATAGTCTGTATTAACAAGCATTGCCTTAGCCTATTCTGCGTAACAAAGAACACAGTGAACTATCAATTAATTTAATGTCGTTGGGGTAACCTTATCTTAGGCCCACAAGTAGCATTCAGTAATATCTTTTTCTAAGAGTTAGTGGCAGATCTAAGGCGCTACAATTAATACATCCTTTGAATTTCTCAATTACTTTTATATTAGACATTGGTATGTTTTTCCTGTATAGGTCCTGGGTGGAGATGGAAAACCACACTCGCACTGAGCATCACTGCCATAGCCAGCACAGTGTTGTCTGGGTCTTTCACGCAGTGTGAGAAGTAAGACACAGTAAACACTCTTTGCTCCTAACAGCCACAGTTGTTACCATAAAAAGCTCCTTTTATGGACACCTAACATTTGAAATGTACAGTATATGCTTACAATGAATATAGATAGTCTGTATTCTACTTTTTAGCAAGCTAGTGGATAACATCATTAGAATTTATTTTACAAGCATATGCCAGAGTCTTTAAAGACGAGTTATAGTCAAAGACCTGTGTCTTTCAAGAAAGTGTGTAGCTATTTGGTCTTGAGAGCATCATAATTGTTTTGTATATATGGTATAATGTACTACATATATATATATGGTATATATATGTATATATATATATAATCCTTAATTATTTTGTAATGTGTTCAACCAGAATCAAAAGGTTATGAACTTGTGCCCAGAATGTGTAGAAAAAGAAGGGTCCGTCTTGTTACACTGCCATGTACAGTATAATAATGTGATGTACCTGTTTATATGATCAGGTTTCTTTGTATCGAAATGAATACAAGTGTGTCAAGCATGTAAAAGGAAAATGCTATGCAGACTAGTGTTCAATAGAGTAGATTTTAACAACTGGGAAAAAGGATTACATATCTGAGAGAAAAATAACACATGAATGCAATAACAGGAGGTAAGGGCAACAATGGACAATAACCCAGTGGGCACTATAAGAGTGGTGTTGCTTCGACACTGAATCGATGGCATCAATGTTAATTTAATGCAGAATCGACATTTTTTATGTTGATTCTGCATTGAATTGGCTAAATTCCCAGTAGGCACTTGGATATTTTGCCTACTGGGAATGTGGATACAATAGGTAATGAAAATGAAAGATAACACATTTCCATTACATAAGAAAATATTGTTGCAGTATTAATTGATACTGATATGTAGGTGAAGAAGTGATGTAATTAAGATAGTTTAAGCAGATGTGATTAAGTAGTACCATGCCTAATTAAGGTGGGCTGAAGTATAACCATTGATGGTTGATTAAGGACCAAGATTTTGAATAAATATGACGGTTCATATTGCAATCAGGTTAATTTTAATATACTGTAATGTAATAGTTTTACCTACCATAATGAAATTTTCTTAGTTTTGGTTTCTGTATTAGAATATTAGAGAGTACTGTGAATTAGTAAAATTCACAGACAATACTCAGTGTATCCTTATCAGGTGAAGTTTCTTCATATTATAATTTTTACCATTTAATGCATTATATGAGATGTTCTTTATCTTTAAATGTTTCAGCTAATTAAAAGTCCCTACATCATGGTTCTCGTGACAAATAATAATTCGCAGCAATAATATAAATAAAATCATATTGTAGCGATTTGAACACAGGACATAATTGCAAATAGTGATTGGAACTGTTTAATAGTCCTTATATGGTGGTACAGTATTATAGGAATTGAGAATATGCAACCCATGAGTTTAGGTGTATTTTGCAGAATTTTTGTCACCCATTATCTTCTCTTTGTAACAAATAAAAATAAGATGCAAAGATTAATTTGGGTACCAGTTGACTTCCAGTATGGGATTCTGAGTATGATTGTGTATGTATGACAAAAAATAGAACTAGAAACCCAAAAAATAATCAAAGCATATAGAGCACTGAGCTTGCAGAACTATAGTTCTGTTAAGCACCAGCACTTTATAGAAAATTAGTCTTGCTTGAAATTCTATAAAATGAATGGTTCCTGGAACTGAGAAAAGGAGCTATGAGAAGAGGCTAGAGGTGTTAACTATGACAAAACAAGAACACAGAAGGATAAAGAGATATGATCACTATGTATAAAATAGTATCAGGAGTTGACAAAATAGACAAGGTGAATTTTGTGAAACCTATAACTTTATGAACTATAGACCATAAAATCAAGAAAACAAATGTACCCAAAAAAAAAACGAAAGTTCTCTTGTTGTGAAGAGAGAGAGTGGTAGAAGTTTGGAACAAGTTAAGCGAGAAGGTGGTGGATGTCGAAATCATCAATAGTTTCATACGTCATATAAAAAACATTGGGAAGATGGGACCTCATGAGCATAGCTCTTATTCTGTAACTACACTTTGGTAAATACAATGGAATACAAAGATATATGGTGTATTTATGTGGTATTGCACTATATTATTCGCTAAACCTACAGCAAACAAGTCTTAGCCTGATGTAGTCACTCCAACATTGTGAGCCTGCTGGAAATGAAACATTTTTTATTACAAGAGTATTAAATTTATTTTCCCCCTCTGAATATTTAAATCACTAATTTGAAGAATTCAAGACAGAATTTTAAATATGTTCTTAAATTAAACAGCTATATGGTTTTCAGCTTAAAATTTATAGTAAAGTTTAAAAATGCCAAGATGATTAATGGAGCTCATATAAGTAAATAAATAAATACATAAATAAATAAATGAATGTTGAGAGCAATTTTAAACTTGGATATGAATAAAATTGATAATTTTGTTAACATCACATTTTTGATGAATAATCTGTAAGCTTCCCTGTTGACAGCAGGGAAGCTTACTCATCTGCTGGCATATGAGTGATATGGAATTCATCGATGCTTAAGCCTGATAGGTTTACACAACACTATTGTCACATTGTTATAATGGGCCATTGGGTGGCAATTCTTGTAAATGTTCGTTATAAGTGGTTGGATATACTTGCAAGAGAGAGTTGCTGTCTTAATTGGAATTAGATAATATTATGCCTCTGAAAATGCTTACCCTCGAATCCCCTGAGTTTTTATAAGGATATTAAAATGTAAACTTTGGCACTGAAAAGCATATTGTGTTATCAGTGTATTAAGATAATTTGTTTAAAACTACTGTACTTTACTTTTATAGATTAAATTATCAAAAAATTAAGTACTGTATCTAAAAGAACTAACATATTGAAATTTTGTAGATACAGTACTTAATATCTCTGTTGATACAATAATTATTTAAATGTTAATTTTTGTCAATGCTACTCACATTCATTAACTAAAATATTTTGCAGTACTACATACATTATTACTATATTATGTACTTTTTTGTCTTATTCTACTTAGTTACTGTGTTGGTTTTCACACCATCTACTGTGTCACTGGTCATTCATTCACCAAGTCCAACAATGTTACCTCAAGAGTAACAATGTCACTTTGTTGTTAATCACTTAACATATACTTACCTTTTGTTCTACTAGTCCTTACAGCAACTTTGGTCATCTGTTCCTACATATATTGTGTTGCTGGCAAATCTACTAGTCAAAGTAGTATAAATAAAATTGTATTTATAAAATATAAATACACAATTATTATACATTCATTATATACACATATTATTATTATATTATTATATTATTACATGTGCATACTGTATTTGAAGGTACAGGAGTTGGGAATTATATAATGCCACTAATCTACTATGTTCTTGTTCGCTGTGCTGTTCTCCTACATCATGAACTGTCATGTGTTCAGCATCAACAATTTGTCACTCCCTAAAAGTTCAGTAATAATTTGTAATTGAATTAATTTTGTTGATATAGGAAGCCTGTTCATATGTATACTTTAGGTTTGTATCAATTCCTCCTCCTCCCCACTCCAAAGATCAAACTGCTGACTTTCCCCACAATGCAATCCCACAACAGTTGCTTACCTCAAAGGTACCTATTTACTGCTAGGTGAACTAAGACATTAGGTGAAAGGAAATGCGCACAAATATTTCTGTCCTGCCCAGGAATCGAACCCAGGATCCCCGATTGCAAGTCGGGAACGAAGCCAACTGTACAAGACCCACACGATGTGATCGACTGCCGCTTCTCCTTTTCTATGTTTAAATAACACAATTTTTGGTCCTTAAGTAGTTCATAATAATTTTTTTACTCATTTTTATGTAAATTGACATTAACAAAATAAAGTTTTAATTTTCAAGATGCAATGTTTATCATGTAATTGGTCTATTTTATAGTTAATGAAAAATTTTCTTGTGGTTATTTTTACACAAGGGTTTGAAATGTTTTGTTCTAGCAGTATAACAATGCTTATTATATTTTAAATGTTTGGGTCCAGTTTATTAATATATTATTTTTGGATCAAGAGCATGGTACAATAAACACTTGTAGTTTGTCAGGTGTTACATAATATGTTGTAATATGAAGCACATAATGCTTCTTCCAGTACATTCAATAACATGGTGATTTATTTATGTACAAGAAGGCACAATGGGATGTGAAGGTACATATGTTGTTGAAGGTACATTTTTGCAGTCACTAACATGCATACTGTATATTGTTTTGGGCAAGTCCTAAAGTTAGCAGAGAATTTGCAATAAATTTTAAATCGCACAGTAAAACTGTCTTGAATAAAAAATAAATGTAATGGTGGCATTTGAATTCATATAATTACAATATCAATATTAAGTAGTAATAAAATATAATATACAGGTATTAAGGTCCTACCAAAATGCTATGCATGTTAGTGGCTCTGCAAGAATGTACTGTAATACTCAAACACCAATGTTATGGACTCTCACAACCTAATGTACCTTCTTATAAATAAATAAATGAGTATGAAGTGCAAAAGTGCACTATTCAATGAAAATAATAACCCACTATTTTGAACTGTATACCTGTATTTTGATCCCAACCCGGGATCCTCTTCAGCAATGGGTAAAGCCACCTTGTTACATAATCGTTCACCAAATCTGGTAACCACTGCTTTGAAAAAATATTAAAATTTGGATTGTTGTTTATAAAAGTAGATTATAATTTTCCCCAACACTATGGCTTCAAAAGAAAAATAATAGAATGTACTTTTCTAAAGAACAATACAAATTGTAATAAATCCTCAGGGCAGTGGTTACCAGATTTGGTGAGCAATTATGTAATGAGAAAGTTATTACCTATTGCTTACACCTCTTCCCATGATACCTGACTTGACACCATAAAAGCAGCATCAGCCGGTATTCTCGCTTCCTGCTGAATAAGATCCTGGGTTGGGATACCTTGCGGTTACCTTGCGATGATTTCGGGGCTCAACATCCCCGCGGCCTGGTCGTCGACCAGGCCTCCTCATTGCTGGACTGGTCAACCAGGCTGTTGGATGCAGCTGCTCGCAGCCTGATGTATGAATCACAGCCTGGTTAATAAAAATCATTCAGTCTATGTTTCCTCATGTTTTCAAAATACAGTATTGGGTTATTATTTTCACATAAATAAATAAATAAGGCAACACAGAGGAATGGTTAATTATATACATTGCTAGAAAATTTGAAAATACCTACCTGGTTAGTTAATGAGCTGTTTTGATAAACACATCTAGTCCTAGCCAGTGCAAGACAATAACATGGCGTTATTGAGCATGGTGAACCGAGATGTGGAGCTCTTTGGTGTGACCAGTTTGTTAAGCCCTAATTGGTTTTTATTAAGATTTTTGTGGCTTTGCAATGTTATCCTCCTTTGTTATTATCCATGCAGACCTTTCTTTCCTCTGTTGTTGGTCTTTTAACACCTTATTAACCTTTTTTTTTTTTTTTTTTTTTTTACTTCCTAGCATCTTGTTTTCTCCCCTCTAACCCTTTTGGAGCTCGTGCCTCCATTTTCTGAACCTTTCACCCCATCCAGACATCTAATAGCCTCCACCTTCATGTCCTGTAACTGCTCTTTCTTGAATTCTTGCCCCTTTCAAATCCTTCTCTTTAAGTATACCTTTTCTCATAGCTAACCTATGTCCTTGAATGTAATTCCCTGTCATGATATAGCCCTCTTGCTCCGAGACATTCCTTCCTGCTACAATTACCACGATGTCCTTCCATGTAATATTTTCCTGCATTTGTTTGCCATTGTGAGCATGCAACCAGTTCAATGTTTCTGTAGTCAAGTTGTTTGCTAGGCTGTGTTATTTCTGAAACTACAGTGCTTATATTAGGTTACTTCAATAGCTACACTGGTAAGGTTGGTGCACTATTATTTTGAGTGCATTATTCCCATAGATACACTGGTTGTATTATCACATTGCTTCCATAGTTGTGTTGTTTCAATAACTTTCTTGTTTTCATAGCTATCTTTTTCCCATATCTTGGTCTGCTCTGTTATTATAGCTAACATGTTTCTAGTGTAATACTTTGTACCTTATCTAATGTTTGGCATAATTTCGGACATATTTTCACATGAAAAAATATCGTCTCTTATGTTATTTATAAATGTAATAATATTGAAATGTTGGATCTAATGTGTATGTGTCCCTGCTCCTCAGGGCAAGTTCATCCTGGAAACAGCTATTATCATGTTCTGTTGAAATCTTTTGCCAAGCTGTTTAACGAGACTCACAAGTCTGTCACATAATCAATAGAAAAAGTAAACAGTTGTATGTAAGTAACACATTTTTGTACAGTGTACAGCTCCATTTTGTATTTTCAAAATGTTCTCAATATATCTTTGTTGTGAACAGTGTTGCTGTGTGTTTTATTAGACAACCCCATGCTAGGCTGAATGAAAATTGTTTTTCCTATTCATCATAAATTTTTCACAGGAGTTGATTATTATGAAACGATCACTGAATAATATTTTGATCTAAGCACATTTGCCAAGTAGAATATATATACCCAAAATAAATATATATATATACAGTATGACAAAGGACGCAGGAACATACAAGCCATAGATCATTAAGAACTCTAAATGACCCGACCAGGATTTGAACCCATGACATCCAGGATTCGAACCCATGGCGTCCAGGATCACCCCCCTACTACATAGTACTGTGCCCACCACACCATTGATCATCTATAAGGATTGGTCAGTCCTGGTGATTATTAACTAAGTTCCACGACTGAACAACCCCTGATGACACTGATTTGGGTACAGTTTTTCATCAAATCCTGGCACATGCACAGGCTGCTCTGACTCTACAAATGTAAGAATGCTGCAGGAACGTCTGAGCCATAGATCACTAAGAACTCTTAGTTACTATACAGTAGTTTATTATATTCTAGTTACTTTATTTCATTATGGACCCCATACCCATCCTTTGGGTGGTAGTGGAAAAGGTTACAGAGGTACATGATTGGCTTTGGAACTGAACACCAAATTTATTTAGCTGAGCAAGTTACAATAACACTGTTGTGTCCAGATCATTTTGAAGATCATGACAGTCTTCAGTCTCTTATCATTGGCAAACATTCATATAATTCTGTATTCCTTCTGGAAGACCATTTATATATACATTGAACATTATTCGTGCAATAACAGTTTTGTAGTACTGTACTGCACTCAGAACATTTCTCCATAATAATCTTCTACTTAAACTTTTATCATTATGGAATTCGAGGCCCTACTCTGAAATATATCCCAAAACATGCTAAATATACACTCACTCCACACATTCTCTTGTGCTATTTACATTTACAAAACCCTATACCTAAATTATAATCTTATTTTGAAATTCTTCCTTGATATATATAGAACCCATGAGCATCATAACAAATACAGTACTGCACATTGCTGACATTCCCAGTCAGACTAAATCTATGCAAATAAAAAACCCATTATATGGAACTCGCTCCCTAATGAATAAAAAAAAATTTGCAGCCTATACTTTATTGAAAAGTAGAACTATGAAGTACTTAATATATATAAACAATGATTTGTTAAGGCAGCACCTTATACTATTTAGTAGGATTGATAATGATTTATAGATATCACTTTGGGGTTGGTCATCATCAGTCACAGTAAAGATTACATGGTAGGAAAGACCTGGGTAAATACTGTTTTGGAACTAGCGGGGAACAAATTATTAACAGTAATTACAACTTATTATTAATAATAATGTAATATTATAATAGCAACAATATATTATCCGTTAGGTTAAGGACCTGCCCGAAACGCTGTTCATACTAGTGGCTTTATAAGAATATAAACACAATGCTATGTACTCTCTCAAACCCAATGCACCTATATATATAATATATATATTGTATAAGTCATATAACATGCATAATAATAGGTTAACATTAGTGCCTCTGGCAGTGAGAAGTCTAACTATTATAGTTAGTTAATTTAGTTCATTTATTATGCACCTCATACCTATCTTGTGGGCGGTGGAAAGGGTTACAGAGGCACATAATGGGCTCAGGGACTGAACCCCACAATTCATTTAGCTAAGCAAATTACAAATCTTGATGAGCCAGTTACAAAATTCATCATAAGTCGTCATATCATCAATGGTGTGAGAGTTTTGACATTAATGGTGAGCCAAAGGGGAAAGTGTCCGGTCTCTCGCGCCTTCACGTAAACACAAGAGGTCAGTGACGGACCAGACGGCGGGCGGCCGGGTCGCAGGCGGTTGACCGTGAGTATAATAACCTGAATTTTACCTGAATTTACCCGAGGGCCACTAATACCAGTGGCCTCGACGAGGAGAGGAAGCTGGCGGCTTGTCAAAGGTCCACTCCCATATTGCCTGGATGATCTTTTATATCTGTATTTTAAAATTAAACAAGAGTTTTGGCGTTTGCGGCTTCGGCGGGATGACGGTTCCCAAGTTGACAACCCTGTAACTCAACACATCAATATTACGTTAATATTGACATGTATTTAGGCTAAAACAACCGTGACTCAACCATGAAACAACACAATGTTGTTAGGTAGTTGTGACGTGGATTATTATGCACCACAGGCATTTTTCAACATTAAAAAGCACTTTTCAGTTGACCAGACCATACCATTCTCAAGTCGACAATCGACTTGAGAATGGTCCAGGACGGACCGAAACGTCGTCATCCCTTCATCTTCTAGTGTGTGGTCTGGTCAACATACTTTAGCCACGTTATTGTGACTCATCGCCTGCACTTTTCAGTCATGTAGATCTTTTTTGTAAGGCCTCAATATAATTTTTACTTCCCGCTTTACCTTAAATATCTTAGTGTTATCTTCAAATTTGGTTCGTTGAGCTTGAAGCTGTTGCTGCTTTGTATGTGGTTTAAAGAAGTGGTCTGGAATAATGTCCTCTAACTTAGGTATTATGAAGGCCTGATCGGCTGCCAGTCAGGTTTGCATGGTGTCACGTGAACCCCCAGCATAGTAGTGGAACTGCCTCGTCCCCCACTAACCCTCAATGCCTCTGTACTGGAAGTTCACTTCTACACCAGCCAATAGGAGTCATCAGTCCTGCTACCTCTCTGTACCCCCCCCCTCTCCCCAAGGGCCTGGTACGACTCTGAGACAAGCCGGGCGCCTCAACTAACTGGTAGTTTGCCTTCACAAACAAGCAGTTAGCCTTCAACTAGCAGTGGTACAGCCTCAACACATGGCGCAGCCAGCCACAACGAGCAAATTTGCTCTCGGCGCCTGTTATCACCTTTGCGTTGACACTGGCTGTGACGTCATCACCACCTGACTATATAAAGGGCACCGCCTCCCTAGGGAGCCATAATCCACTACGGGCTCACCATAGTCTGTGTTATTTAGAATTTTTTGTTCTAAATAACGAATCTTTAACAACAACCTAGGGAGCCACGAGAGACATATCTCCCGTCACGCAGGGTGCAGTCGCACCTCCACAGATCTCCAGTATTATCTATTGATACTGGTAATGGCTCAAAAGGGCCAACACTTACGGGCTATTTATGCCCGTGCCACCTTTTGGGTGGCTTAATCTTAATCAATCAATCCTAGGGAGCCCCCCCCCCCTCCTCACAGCACCCCTCCTGTGCCTGGTAAGTCCACTACGGGCTCTCAATAGCCCGTGCTACTTGGAACTGATTCCGAGTAGCTGAATCTATAACAGTATCTAGGGAGCCAGTCTCTCTTAAGTGCTCTTGGATCACCTTAGCGTCCTGCAACGCCGTCTGCCCTCAGCCTACGTGTGTGTGCTGGATGCTGTGCTGGTATGGTAATTGTCTTCAGCACCACCAGTATTTACTCATGTATTCTTTTCACTGCATTTCTTGCACGTTTTATTCTTTTATTAATTTTCATATTTTGTTCGCTTTGAAGGGTATGATCGCCAAGTATTCTCAGGTTCCATTTTTGTTCGGTAAATATTTATTTCAGTAAATTGTTTTAATTATTTGATGATTTTCGCTTGTTTTTACTTGCGACTGCCACACTGCATGGGCAAATAGCAGCATTTTTGTTTGTGTGATGGAGAGCCATACCACCTTGGTTCAGTATAGCTGCAATACCACAGTTAACCCGTCATAATGGTTTAGTCTTGTGGCCTTCAAATATTCGTTGTTTAAGAGTCGACTTAGTTCTGGGATGATTATTATCGCTCTGTTGAACTTTCTCCAAAGAAGATGGTCTTTTGAAGGCGAGGTCTCCCTATTAGTCAGTCTACATGAGAACACACTAGATGTAGTAAATTTATTTATTCTCCAGATCTTTATCCAGACCTCTCTCAACCAGTTTAAGTTAAAAGCGAAGCTATACCTAATAAATTCCCTGTAACCTACCTTACCCTTCTATTGTCAACCAATGTCTGTTTTTTTTCTTTAAAGAGCGCTGTTTGTCGACATAATTGTATTTGTGCTGCTTTTTCATCTATGTTTTCATTTCTTGTTTTCATTCTACTCATTATGCTCAATTAGCATTAAGCTTGTCATTTAAGTTTATCATGCCCGAAACGCTTTGCGTAATAGTGGCTTTAGGCATTGTATGTACTAGCTCTACCTATAAGTCAAACAATCCTTGTAAATATTTATTGTATGTATGTACCTTACCTAAATAAAATTGTATTGTTGTATTGTATTGTATTGTACTCGGTAGACTCCCAGTCAGCGTAGTTTGAAGACCACAGAATTAGATAAAGAAGTGTAAATACACTAGTTCTTGTTTGTTAAATCCGTAAAGTAGACCAATCTATGGGTCAGTTACTATGGACCAGGCAAGTTATTCCAACAGGTATGAAGCAGAGGACTTGTATGACAAAAATAAACCGATCGTATTATGATTCGGTTACTCAATAAATTAAAAAAATAAATCAAATAACAGTAATAATAATAATTTATTTAGGAAAAGTACATACATAGATGCAGTTACAAACATTCTGATTGATTTATAGATAGCGCTAGTACATACAATACCTAAAGCCACTAATACACGTAGCATTTCAGGCAATTAATTATTGCAAACAAATAAATATACAAATATAAATGTTGCGACTAAAGTAACAAAGAAATCAATAATATTTAGCTTAGCTGATTTCTAATGACATCCTCTGCTGTATGCTAATCCTATAGAAACAATTGGTATTTAGTTTCAGGCTCAAGGTAACCGGTGTCGACCATACCAGAGGAGAACCCACATTGGTAATTATATAAATTTGCTTCCAGCGCAGCAGGGAATTAGTTCTTTGATTCAACTTTGTTGATCAAAGTTATGAAATGACACAAGAAAAATTATTAGCAAATAGCCTAGTTTATGGAAACCATCAATAACCAAACTTAATAAAATT